GCTATGGGGGGGAGAGGAACAGCAAACTGTTTAGAATGTTGGAGGCGAGACTCAAGCAATGCAGCCAGTGGATAGGGACAGATTCTGAGTGACACACCAGGGCGCCAACCAATTCCGGAGCATGTGGAATATTCTAGAGAAGTGCCACCACCATTCGGCTTTTATATATAAGGGAGATGATATTTAACTTTAGATGGGGAGTGGGGGAGGGAGGGAGGGAGGAAATGATGGGGGGGGGGAAGGTGGAAGGAAAGCAAGGGGAAGGGAAGACCAACCAGGGAAGCATGCCTTCCTTTCACTTCCGCAGCCAACCTGCTGGGAGCTGCAGAATATCTGTGAAAGGGCCACCTGTGGCTCCCGAGCCACAGTTTGGCCACCCCTGCTCTAGCATTATATGACAGTAACTGTTGGACTGTTATTCAAATTATGACACCAAACATCATGCAGGAAAATCAAAATTAGAGACTTTAAATACAGCAATTAAATGAATGTACTGCTTCATCTGACCTGATGATGAAGGCACCTCGTATCTCTAGCAGCTTCCGCTCACTGCTGAATCTCTTGAGCAAGTTGATCATGAATTTATAGAAGTAGGAGTTCATGGTGGGAGTTGAGGGAGAGCACTCCATGCCTTTGGAACCTGGGAGAAGAAATGGCGTGAAGTTACCTAACTTCAAAACACACACACACAGAGGACACATTGCACAAAATGCAGATGGCTTTCAGGGCTTATACTCTGCAGAGAACCGCAGCAGACCCTGTGTGTATATTATTCTCTGTTTATTTGCTTCATATATAGCCTACCTTTCTCACCAACAGAAACCCAGTCCAGCTCACATCATTATCCACTGTTCCATTTTATCCTCGCAACAACCCTGTGAGGCGGGTTAAGCTGAGAATGTGTGTGGCTGTCCCAACGTTACCCAGCAAGCTTCAGTGGCAGAATAAGGATTCAAACCTGGGTTTGCAGGATACCAATCTGACACTCTAACCTGTCAGCAAGCTGCCAATGTGTCTGTAATGTATGTGTTGGGCCTGTCTGCATCCCTTTTCCCCCCTCGCTTGTCGACAACCTCTATTGCCATGGTAACAGTAGTATACTCTGGTGCGCATGTCCACCCTCAACCCCATGCGCTCATCTCCTCCACTGCATTCCTTTCCATGTACGCTAGCTTTGCTTTGATGGCGCGTTATCAACCCAAGGCCACAGGTGGTGTGCAGCAAGAGGCTTTTGCTTAGTCTGTAATGAATATGTAGTGTGGGAATAGTCTAATTGTTTAACTGTAGAGAACCGTTGCTTCTCAGGGTTTGGGCGCGCTGGGCGCCTTCTAGGCGGGAGCGGGAACCATACCTATTGGCTATTGTAATTATGAAATTGCTTTAACCTATCTGTCAAACGCTCAACTCGTTATTCTGAACAGAGAATCTGTTCTAAGTGCTTCATGGCTTCAATAAAGTAAAACCTTCCTGCATCATTGCCTGCTGCTCCCCCCCCCCCCATTATTCTGACAGGGTATCACCTTCACTCATAAAAAATCTTTCTAGTACCTAATTCTGTGTTTTACATGAGCACTAGTTGGCCAGTCCTTAGGGAGAGTTGATGGGATATTTGCATATTAGCGGAGCTTTACTTGAAAAGATGTCGGAAATGCCTCCAAGTTGGAGACTCCTGAAAAATATGTGCTAACTTGAAGACACCCAGGCAGGGCAAGAAAATTCCACCCAGAAATAAAGCCAATGCTGAAAGTTGAACAAAGTTGGAAGAAAGAATGCAACTCCAATAGTAGGCAGCTGAATCAGAAGTGTTTTTAAGGGATGTTAAGTCAAGAAATTCAGTGAAGTAGCACACAGAATGCACTAATGACTGGACCAGGTATGAGAGAGATGTTATGGAAAGGAAAATGTCCTTTTTGAAGATGAGAAATGCTAGTGAGATGCTTAACATACAAACTCATTCCAGCCCACTCTGCAGATTCCCTCAAAAGGTCTTGCAAAATCTTGGGAGCTAAGTCATGAGAAATCAGCAAATGCATAATCCCAAAAGAAAACCCACAAAATAAAAAGGGCTGGCCAAAAAGGTGAAGAATTGAAGAAGCTGGTAGTGCCGGACGATGTGCCCTTTTAAACCCCAGAGTGTATTAGTTTCCCCCCAAAAAAGATGAGACAAACCTCCCTTTAGAGTTGGCGTACAACCAATTCAGTCTCAAACCCACCACCTAAATTTTGGGGAAAGCTTCTAGGAGACAAAGTATGGCTCTGTTCCTTCACAATCGAGGTACTGATGTGCCTTTCCACTTATGTTGCCTTGATGGTATTAGGGTACGACCAAGTGGGCCATTCTGTACAACGTCTAATGTCTTGGAGATCCAGGACCCCAAGATCCACTCACCCTCCCCATAAGGGTCTGCAGGGAAACACTCAACTAGAAGAGGATCATCATCCTGCCCAGAAGGATGCTCTGCTATCCCCACGACTCAAAAAAAAAAAGGGGGGGGGAGTGGTGTACACCTTTTCACCTACACTGCTCCTCTGCACAGTTATTAGGAAACTCAAAAAGAACAGAGCAGAACTAACCTGCATGGCATTTGACTGGCCCAGGTGACCTTGCTTTTTAGATCTCACAGCAGTGTTCCCTCTAAGCTGAGTTAGTGTGAGCTAGCTCACAGTTTTTTAGCCTCCAGCTCACACATTTTTCTCTTAGCTCAGGAAGGATGGCTCCAGAGCAAACTGATTTATGCAGTATCCAAATGTCTCGCTCACAACTTTAATGCCAGTGGCTCACAAAGTAGAATTTTTGCTCACAAGACTCCGCAGCTTAGAGGGAACATTGTCTCACGGAGCTGCTACATCATTCCCTTTCCCCAGAGGATTCCAGCAGAACATATTCCACTAACTCAGTTATCAATCTGCCAGACTGTGGAGGGTGACATTACTTGGAGATTTAAAAATGTCACTACTGTGTTCCAGAGAGGTGGTCAGGGTCTTATTCAAATCTCAATATTCACCCCTGAAGCAGAAGAGATTACCTGGAAGGCTTTCAAGTAAATGGTACAAACAGAAAAGGATCCTGGCCCTTCTAGCATCTAGAAGTTGTTGTTCTTCCTACAAGACATTACTGCTAAGGAGCTACATCTCAACACACTGCAATGCCAGGCAGCTCCCCTAAGCAGTATCCTGGGCACAGAAACTGGGTCACTCTACATTTCCCAGTACAGGGTAATGATTGGACAGGTTGAAAGACTTGTTTTGTATAACAGGACTATATTTTTAAAAGCAAGTCCCTATTATTATTATTATTATTATTATTATTATTATTATTATTATTATTATTATTATTATTATTATTATTATTATTATTTAGATTTCTATACAGCCCTCCCAAAGGCTCAGGGCGGTTCACAAGCGGCAAGCATAGAGCCCCAGAGGTGCAACAAAACAGTACCAACTGAGAGGCTCACCTCTTTGAGGAATAGAGACACGAAGGCGGCAATCTCTTTTCAAATCTTCTGGCGAGCAGAGGAACAGTAACAGAAGCTGAGTTTTTGTCCATTCTAAGAGTCCATCTTCATGTAGTTTGCCCCTCAAGTAAGCTACCCTCGTTCCTAATAGTAAAACCACTACTATACACAGGGGTCTTTTGGGGCCAGAACCCGGGGTAAGTGAGGGTTCTGTGGGGGGTGGCGGAGGCCTTGGAGGAAGCACGGGATTATCTTTTCCTTCTTACTTCCTTCTTTCCTTCTCTTTCTTTGACTCTTTCCTTCCTTCATTCCTTCTCTGTACTCTCTCTCTCTTTCCTTCCTTCTTTCCTCCTTCTGTGGCCCAACCCTAGTGAGAAGGGGTTTAAACTTTAAATCCCTTCTCTCTTTGCCTCCCCCCCCCCCCGGAAGGGAAGGGGAGGCTTTTGAAGATGCCTTCCCCCCCTTTTGCTTCCCCTTCTGACATCACTCTTCTGGTGATGGCAGGGGGCACTGCATATGCTAATGAGCTATTATGCTAATAGCCTAGTAGCTTATTAGCATACCATATGCTAATGAGCTCCTGCAGCTCTTTTTCTACAAAAAGACCCCTGATAATAATAATAGTAGTAGTAGTAGTAGATGATTGGATTTATACCCTGCCCTTCACTACCTGAAGGAGTCTGAGCGGCTTATAGTCTCCTTTCCCTTCCGCTTCCCACAACAAACACCCTGTGAGCTAGGTGGGGCTGAGACAGCTCTTTCGAGAACTGCTCATAAGAGAAGCGCCCTGAAATAGCTTGTAACTGGCCCAAGGTCACACCAGCAGCTGCATGTGGAGGAGTGGGGAATCAAACCCGGTTCTCCCAGATTAGAGTCTGTGCTCTTAACCACTAAGATACTTTTGTCCTAAGTTGCCTATGAGCCATCCCAAATCATCTACTCACAGAATTCTGGTGATGTCAGGATGTGTTACTGCTACTGTTTATTAGATTTTTTTTTAATCCCGTGCTTCCTCCAGGGAGCTCAGGGTGATGATGTACATGTCTTCCCCACTCTTTTTTCTCCTCATAACCACTCTGGGGTACAATAGCAGCGTGGGGATTGGACACAGGTCACCCATATTCAACACTTATTCAATATTTATCCATTAAGAACATTTTTATGCAACCTTCCCCCAACGTAGAGTCCCCAAGATGGCAAAAAAACGGAAGTATGAAAACAGCTTTTAAAAATATGCATTTATAAAACCCATTAAAAACAACACACATTATCACATATAAACAGGAAGAGGGGTCAGTGAGGTAACACCACACAAAACCCCCTGCTGCTGGAAAACAATGATTGAGAAGTACGGATGAATCTTCCTGGAGAGAGAATTCCATCCTTTTACTGCACGACTGAAAAAGAAACTCTTTTCTTGGGTTTCTACCCACTTTGCCTCAGATGGCCAAGGGCACCCAAAGATGACCGCCGTGATTGCGTAAGGTTCCTATGGGAGCAGGGAGTTAACAACCATTTCAGTCAGGCACTCTTTATTTGCAACTGCAGTTGTACAGTTTGGGAAAATACCTGCCTACACGTGACCATGTTAAGCGAAACAGACTTTTGAATCAGGGGGGGGGGTATTCCACAGGAAGAACAAACCAACTTTAGCCTTTTTACCCCCACTGGGAGAGGGAATGGGAAGGTTCATTTTCAGTCTCTCTCACTGAAGTGGGAATTAAGAAGGCATGGGTAAAAGGATTCCATCTTTCTGGGTTTCCCTGTGTTGTGCTAGTATTGCTCCCTTATCTAGCTGCAGTCTGCAAGTGTTCGATAGATTCATGGAGAACTGTGACAGAAATACTCTCCTCAACAACAGCACACTTGGAAGACACACAGAAAAAGGCAAACGCATTACCGCTTGGATGAAGAGAGAAAATTGGATGAGCGGAAGAAACAGACTTTCCATTTCACAAAGACCCGGTGGTCTGCCAGCAGCAGACCACCAGGTTGGGTCCCCTGCATCCTTTCCAATCCCTCACAGTTCATAATGTCTACAGAGACAGCTCTGTATGGATCAACGGGTGGAAACTGGCGGCGAGCTGCTGGCCAAGATATTCATCCATTCCCTCAGATCTTTTTAAAGACACTGGCCCAGTTGCAGTTTTTGCTGCTGACGGGTGGCTCGCCCACCCCGGCA